AACTTTATGTTCCTTGCGAAATGAGCACAGATGAATTCGTCTATAAAAAATAGTCAATTCTGCGAGCGCTCGGAAATTAAAACGGCAAAAAGCTTATCCATCTTGCCATTGTTGGTAAATTTATTTATGAATTATTCTCTAACCAGGCCCAGCGTCTCTCAAAACTTCATACGCCTCGTCATCGTTCTTCAAAATTACATCCATTTGGCTTTGAGCCATGTTGTTTTTATCCTGAGGTGACAGTCTTCTTGCATTCATTGAGCTGCTTGAATGGCTGAGTAGCTGAAACAATCGCCTTTTCTTTTGTTTTTCTGCGTTTCCGATAAGTGGTTTTGGAATAACAATAGCAGCCGCGGGGATCTGAACATCCGATATTGTTGCTGCATAAGCAGTGGTTTTAAATGAGAAAGGCGACTTCCTTCAGGCACTCGTGCGGAAAACGGGAACATTCACCTCTGCTTGTTCTACTGCATATCGGTCTTGGTGACAAATTGCCCGTTTGTATCCCTGTTTGTTGCACAGCGAGCACTTGATGCCCTATGTCACGTAAACCCTGTATGGCGACCCTCTTGGACTTTACGTTCATCCGGGCAGGGATCTAGGAGAGCTTAACTCCATCTCACAGAGTGACAAACTTCCGACGAGCATTAGTCTAGCAGGAGTCTAATCTTCTAATAAATGAGGTCACCTGTTCATCGGGCTGAAGTGCTAGGATGAGGTCAGCGTTCTTAACGAAGAACAAGACATTTCCTATCATGATTCAATCGGTTCTTTTTTTTCAGAGGAGAAACCTGCAGACTGGCATGTCCTATCATCATTCCTTCGGATATTTTCTTCAGAAGGGGAACCTGGAGACTGGCATGCCCTATCATCATTCCTTCGGTTATTTTCTTCAGAAGGGAAACCTGGAGACTGGTGCCCTATCATCATTCCTTCGGTTATTTTCTTTTGAGGGGAAACTCGGAGTCTGGCATGCCCTATCATGATTCCTTCGGTTATTTTTTTCAGAAGGGAAACCTGGAGACTGGCATGTCCTATCATGATTCCTTCGGTTATTTTATTCAGAAGGGAAACCTGGAGACTGGCATGTCCTATCATCATTCCTTCGGTTATTTTATTCAGAAGGGAAACCTGGAGACTGGTGCCCTATCATGATTCGTTCGATTCTTTTCTTCATAGGGGAAACTCGGAGTCTGGCATGTCCTATCATGATTCGTTCGATTCTTTTCTTTAAAGGGGAAACTCGGAGTCTGGCATGTCCTATCATTGTTCGTTCGGTTCTTTTCTTCAGAGGAAAAATCTGAAGACTGTAGCGTGTGTCCTAAATATCTAATTCCTTCTCGATCAGCTTCCTAGTATGCTGGATAAATTGACCATTATATACCCCTCCATTGTTTTTGTCAGCTGGTAGATCGTGTTCTTGCCAGCACCAGAGAGAACTGGGTCTGGATGAAGATTCAACAGAATACCAGGAGGACACATCAAGCCACCTGACCCAATCTGGATCGAAGCCTCACCTGCTCGCCATGTATCTTGGCATGGGGCGATGGAACTGGCTTTATTGTCGCTCTTGGCTACCGGCCTGCTTCCTCAAGGTCGAGAAGCTTCTTCCCCTTAGGACCTACCTTGACATAGCCGTCCATAGGGAGTTGTTTCTTATAGCAACGAACTGGGCCTAGAGAGAGTACGTTGAAGGCTTGCCTGTTCCAGACACAGGTGATGTCCCTCATCAGTTGTCTGAAGGATTGGCTCTTAGTTAAATCATTTGATGCTGTATGGGTGGGTGACCCTCCATAAAAGAAGACTTTTCTTTTTAAAGGATTAATTTCTATTTCCTATAGTGTAGTCAACTTGAAAATATTTTGACTTTTTAGAAAAAAAATAACTTTAAAAAATGATAAATAAATAAAAATGGTGATCTAATGGACAAAACTTAAGGAAATTGTACCTTTTAGTATGTATATCTGGATTCAGACAATAATTCTGAAAGATATTTGATACACATTGACCTTTATTGAAGACACACGAGAGAACCAAGTGGAAACAGAAATGGCACCTTACATCAGACGAAGTATTTTAAAAATATGTAAACTTTTTATTATACTTACAGTAAGTGTGTTTGCATAGATACTACCCACCATAATTATAATATCTAATATACGTGGCTAGCTTTTCTTGAATAATCAAGAAACGGTATTTGGCCAATTCTGGAATAATTAAAAATCAACGATTAGTTGATGTTTATTACGATAGATGGCGCAAACCATCAGCAACTTTTAGTTACACGATCAGGAAATGTCCCTTTTCTCAATTTATCCCCACCTGATCCAAGTACAAATTCCCTTTTGTACTATCTTTCATAATTATAATAACTTGTAGCGTTTGTACTCCATGTTAGGAGCGGCTGCACATGGCGTCTATTCCTCATGTCAGAGGCGGCCATTTATTTTGGAGCTAAGTCGGCCTGCCACTGAGTAGTGCTCCCAGTCTTAATGACAAAGGCAGACGCATTCTACTTAACCCAGTCATGATCTCAAACTTTAAATTCAAAAGACAAAAACCTCTCGCAATCAGTATCTTTTATTATTACAAATAACGGACGCTAGCTTTCGAACAATTAGTTCTTCAACGGGCGTTTTTACAAAACGAAATCAGATTCTTATTAATATATAGAGGTAATAGAAAAAATATATACAAATATTCGCTCAAAGATATGCTAAAAAAGGTAAATTAGAGAATTGAAAAATAATCAGATATGCAAAAACTTCTTTAAAACTAAATTAAGTTTAAAACTAAGTGGGGAAGGGGGGACATAGCAGAATTCGTTCTTCAAATTCTTTTAAAAAAGGCAGCGGAACTGTTCTGGGACATCTATTCTTCTGTTTATGCTGTCTTTACAACCAGAAACCAAGGATTCCAAAATTAATCTTTCCCCTTTGTATCTGATGTTGTTGTAATGGCAAATGGGGTTATCCAGATCAAAACTATGTCCTGTGTTTAACGTGTGTTGGTACAGAAGGGATCTGGGGTCTTTTGAGCTGATATTGTATTTGTGTTCTTTGATTCGGTTTTCGATTTTTCTGCCTGTTTCTCCTACATAAACGGATTCACAATCATTGCAGGCAACCGAATAGATCGCGTTGCTTTTATGTTGAACATCATGTTTAACTCCTGGTTTGGTAATGTGGTTCCTCAGTATATGTCCTATTGTGCTTGTGCTGCGATAGGTGAACTGAATTCCATATTTCCTCATTCTCTATTTCCTCTGAGGAAATATGGAATTCAGTTCACCTATCGCAGCACAAGCACAATAGGACATATACTGAGGAACCACATTACCAAACCAGGAGTTAAACATGATGTTCAACATAAAAGCAACGCGATCTATTCGGTTGCCTGCAATGATTGTGAATCCGTTTATGTAGGAGAAACAGGCAGAAAAATCGAAAACCGAATCAAAGAACACAAATACAATATCAGCTCAAAAGACCCCAGATCCCTTCTGTACCAACACACGTTAAACACAGGACATAGTTTTGATCTGGATAACCCCATCTGCCATTACAACAACATCAGATACAAAGGGGAAAGATTAATTTTGGAATCCTTAGTTTCTGGTTGTAAAGACAGCATAAACAGAAGAATAGATGTCCCAGAACAGTTCCGCTGTCTTTTTTAAAAGAATTTGAAGAACGAATTCTGCTATGTCCCCCCTTCCCCACTTAGTTTTAAACTTAATTTAGTTTTAAAGAAGTTTTTGCATATCTGATTATTTTTCAATTCTCTAATTTACCTTTTTAGCATATCTTTGAGCGAATATTTGTATATATTTTTTTCTATTACCTCTATATATTAATAAGAATCTGATTTCGTTTTGTAAAAACGCCCGTTGAAGAACTAATTGTTCGAAAGCTAGCGTCCGTTATTTGTAATAATAAAAGATACTGATTGCGAGAGGTTTTTGTCTTTTGAATTTAATTTTATGCGCAAGTTTTTTGATCTTATTATCTCAAACTTTACAAGCTTGATACCATAATATGATTGAGTGGAGATAAGAAAGAAGAAGAAGATAATAGTCTGTGAATACTATGTGTACTGGGATTCAGTAAAAATAAAATCAAATATTTCCACTATTTTAAAATATCATCAAAAAGGTGACTGATCATGTTGACTTTGCTTAGAATATTTAATGAAACTGATTCCAATAATTATTAATTAAGCATTATATTCATTGATTTACAAGAGAGAGAACAAAATATAAAAGGGAAACTAATATTGAAACAAAGGAACTTTTTGTTGTTTTGGTTAGCGCCTATTTACCTGTGAGCTTACACACACTCTGTGGAACAATTAATTAATATATATACAACAGATCAGCAGTAATGATTGATCTAGTTCAACCTGGTTTATCTCATAGTGAGTGTTTATATATACGTTGTTGTACCTTGACAAAGGTTGGCGTTCAGCCAACTGAAATATTGATGAATAAAGGGTTTTCAATCCACTATATACCATATTATATAGAGAGTATATATTTGAAATGGAATCTATGTGTGAATCTATATATATATATATATATATATATAATAAAAGTAAAACACTGAATTTGGACGATTTTATTCTTTAAAAAAAATGATGAAAAAAAAAAAAGATGGAGATGCTGGGTATCGATCCCAGTACCTCTCGCATGCTAAGCGAGCGCTCTACCATCTGAGCTACATCCCCTCTTCAAAAAGTATGTGAACCATAGCTTACATATGTAATATGATTATTAAACTATTTACCCCTTTTATTGTCTTGAAAATTTTGATTATATATAATACAATATAATGCGGCTTATGATTTTGTAGAAACGACATTTGACAATTATACCGCAAATGTTTCTTTTGAACGAAAAATCGATTTTTTTTTTTTAGGAGAAATAACGATTATTTATAACCTTAGGGATAAAGTATGAAAGGATGAATTGTGAAGAGTAATGATAAACGGAAAAATAAAGTGTCCAGGGATGGGAATCGAACCCACAATGTTCCGCTGGCAGATGCCATGTCCACTAGGCTACCCTGGACAAATTTTTAATTATATATTTTTTATTCTTTTTCCTTATTCTCTTTTGTTTCATTTCCTAAAACCATTACTTTCGTAAGAACCTTTTCTTATTTCTTCAGACAACCGTCATGACTGGGTGAAGTAGAATGCGTCTGCCTTTGTCATTAAGACTGTGAGCACTACTCAGTGGTAGGCCGACTTAGCTCCAAAAGAAATGGCCGCCTCTGACATGACGCCATGTGCAGCCGCTCTTAACATGAAGTACAGAGGCTGCTTTTCTTGTATCCCTGGATGAGGAGCTCTTACAGAGTACTATCAGCAGGGGTATATATACGTACGCAATTCAGTCCAAGTTCATGGAACTTGGCCGCGATGTGAAGCCGCGCAAAAAACTTTGTAATCACAAGGAGAAAGGGAAAATTACAAATGTGATTCTCTCTATATCTGTAGGTATAATGAGAAACAGATTCATCATGTATCCAGTGCCATCTCCGATAGGGAAGTAAAGGAATGACATTTCACCCTCCAGTAAGTCGCTAAAATTGCCATGATGTGTGACTGATACCTTACAAGAGCTCCTAGATTTAAGGTTTGTGTGTATGTAGACATCAACATTACCATAACTATATTGTAAGATTATAAACTCAAAAAGAGCTTCTTCTATAGAACATGTTTATTTTGCTAGCTTTTGAACGACATGGTTCTTCACGCTCGTTGAAGATTATAAACTCAAACTTCTATATTCTTCTTCTTCTTCTTTACGCCCGTTGAAGATTATAAACTCAAAAGGAGCTTCTTCTATATTCTTCTTCTTCACGCCCGTTGAAGATTATAAACTCAAAAGGAGCTTCTTCTATATTCTTCTTCTTCACGCCCGTTGAAGAACGATGTCGTTCGAAAGCTAGAAAAATAAACATATAGAATAAGATCCTTTTTAGTTTATAATCTTACAATATATTACAGTTTTTTTTACCAGTTTTTTGGTCGTTGAGGTACAGCTTGCACCACGCTGATGAGGGCTAACAGCCCGAAACGCGTCCGTGTGGTTAGCTTTTCTTGATTAATCAAGAAGGGGTATTTGGCCAATTCTGGAATAATTAAAAATCAACGAGAATAGTTGATATTTATTCCGATAGTTGGCGCAAGCCATCAGTAACTTTCAGTTGCACGATAAGGAGATGCCTTTTTCATAATATATTACAGGTTTGTAATTAAAGTTCTTTTTTTTTTTATGAATTGCCAAACAAGGCTATAAAGATCTGCCCTTGGATCGTAAACAGAGTTTTCCGTTTACGAGATAAACTGTCAATTGAGACTAAGATGGTTCAACTTTCTCAAGACATGTCACAAATATATTACACGCAGCATTTATATTTTAAATGATAATTTGATTTTAAAAAAAAGATGGAGATGCTGGGTATCGATCCCAGTACCAAAGTGATAATTCTCGCTTCAGCCTCTTCGACTTAACACATTCCTTCTAACTTCCTCAAAAGTCATTTTAAAACAGTATTTTAACAAATGTTTTGTAATATAAAAAAAAAAATCATGTCAATACTACTCTTTTTATATATTTTTGTTTACATTTGATATTTTACATGTTGAGTTCAAATTTTTTTAATTTCGATCAGTTTTGTTCTGAACAACATGGTTCAAATTCACATAAATAGGTACCGCTCAGCAAGAGCAACCTAGTTCATGATAATTGAACAATGAATAATATGTGAAGATTATTCACATATTAAACAAATTTTAACGCGGGATTTAATCCCGGTTCATGACTGTCGGGAATCGAGCGTGTTACCCTCTCATCCACCGACTCTTTATACTGAACAACATGAGATGGGGATCATTTCCAGAATGGTAATTTATAATAGGAGGTTGGTGATTGCACTTCCCTTTATCCAACCTTTTTTTGACAGATTTTGCTGCATTTAGAAAATATTCCCTTCAGCATTTGTATGCATTTAATGTATTTTTTTTGTTTGTATTATTATCAATATCTATATTTGATATAGCTACATTTTCTTTTTATTTCTACGTTTTTTAAAAATTAAAATTGATCACACTCAGAAAAAAAAAGAATATTAAAAAAAAAAAAATGGAGATGCTGGGTATCGATCCCAGTACCTCTCGCATGCTAAGCGAGCGCTCTACCATCTGAGCTACATCCCCGACAAACAGCGTACCTAATCAAAAAAATTAAATTCCACAAAGAAAAAATATATATGAATTTATTTTATTTTTTTCTGTAGCCTAATTTAAAGGAGTGTCTTGTTTATAAATCAGGTTCCTGGAGAGCATAACGCCAACTAACTGGGACAATTTAAAAGTCAATTTTGGCAGAACTACAAAGACTCTAGTTGTGAGTTGAGGTTTGAAAGATCTGTTTGAACAAGATGTTCAGTGGCTTTCGAAAAATTACATTTATTATTATTTTTTATTTTTTTTTAATTAAATCGATATCATGCCCCGCTATTGATAATTCTTTAACCTATGGATTATTCTATTATTATTTTACATATAAAACACTAGAATTTGGACGATATTATTCTTAAATAAAAAAAAAAAAGATGGAGATGCTGGGTATCGATCCCAGTACCTCTCGCATGCTAAGCGAGCGCTCTACCATCTGAGCTACATCCCCTCATGAAAAAGTATGTGAACCATAGCTTACATATGCTATATGAATATAAAACGTTTTCCCCTTTTTTATAGTTGTGAAAACATTAATTATATATATTTTTATTATTTTTTCTTATATTCTCTTGTTTCATTTCCTATAACCATTACTTTCGTAAGAACCTTTTCTTCTTTCTTATCTGACAACCATCATGACCGGGTGAAGTAGAATGCGTCTGCCTTTGTCATTAAGATTGGGAGCACTACTCAGTAGCAGGCCGACTTAGCTCCAAAAGAAATGGTCGCTTATGACATGAGGGACAGACGCTATGTGCAGCCGCTCCTAACATGGAATACAGACGCTGCTTTTCTTGTATCCCTGGATCAGGAGCTCTTACAGAGTACTATCAGCAGGGGTATATATACGTACGCAATTCAGTCCAAGTTCATGGAACTTGGCCGCGATGTGAAGCCGAGCCAAAAATGTTTGTAATCATAAGGAGAAAGGGGAAATTACAAATGATTCTCTCTATATCTGTAGGTATAATGAGAAACAGATTCATCATGCACACAATGCCATCTCCGATAGGGAAGTAAAAGAATGATATTTCATCCCCCAGCAAGTCATCAAATTGCCATGATGTGTGACTTGATACCTTACAAGAGCTCCTAGATTTAAGGGTTGTATGTAGACATCAACTTACCATAACTATATTGTAAGATTATAAAATCAAAAGGAGTTTATTCTATAGAACATGTTTATTTAGCTAGCTTTTGAACGACATCGTTGAACGCCCGTTGAAGATTATAAACTCAAAAGGAGCGCCTTCTATATTCTTCTTCTTCACGTCCGTTGAAGAACGATTTCGTTTGAAATCTAAAAAAAAAAAAAATAAACATGTTCTATTGTAGCGTAGAAATCATGTCTTGGAATATGTAAAAGTGCCAAAGTATTTATTGATGACGTCACGGCGACAAATATTAACAAATCAACCAAACTATCTACAACTAGAGAATATCGAGCAAGCAAGCTAGGCAACTAAATGATGATTTTACAAATATTAAATAATAAATTATTTCTTCGCCACAATATAGAAGAAGATCCTTTTGAGTTTATAATCTTACAATATATTACAGGTTTGTAATTAAAATTATTTTTTTTATGTGAATTGCCAAACAAGGCTATAAAGATTGATATCTGCCCTTGGATCATAAACAGAGTTTTTCGTTTACGAGATTAACTGTCAATTGAAACTAAGATGGTTCAACTTCCTCATGACATATCACAAATATATGCAGCATTTATATTTTAAATGATAATTAAAAAAAAAAAGATGGAGATGCTGGGTATCGATCCCAGTACCTCTCGCATGCTAAGCGAGCGCTCTACCATCTGAGCTACATCCCCGACAATCACAGAAATAAAAATTAAAATATTTAGGAATCAATAAGTTTGAAAATTTTCAACATTTATTCAAAATTAAATTCTTATCCTTACCTCCATGCAATATATTTATTAAAATATTTTTGTTTTCTTTTGTTGACAAAATTATTAATTATATGTCATTTTTTTATTCTTTTTCGTTGTTCTTCTGCGATTTTTTTCCGACCATTACTTTTTGTAATAATTTTTAAATATACACTACTAGCCACACACCTTGAAATTTCTCTACCAGAAAGAAAGGAAAATATAGCAAAATTATATTTATAGGACAAAAATTCATAAATATTGGGAATTTTCTTTCTCTATTTTCCCCCACTAATTTTGTGTATCTCTCAGGAGAATATACAGAATTCTACTGTATATAGAAGACTAAAGGTCTTTATAAAGGTGTAATGAGAATAACAAATGGTTAAGTTTCATGAAATTTGGAGGTATTAATTTTGATAAATCAGTACCAAGATGAACCACCATTTGCAGAAATAGCAGCACTTTTACGTCTGGACATTAAGTCAAACAGAAATTGGATGTATGTATAGGTACAGATTGTCATACAGTTTCAACACAATGCCACAGTTCATCGACAGTAGTGACTGGCGTGTGGTGATGAGCCAATCGCTCGGCAACCATTGACCTGACGTTCTCTATTGGTGACAGATCAGGAGAACGTGTTGGCCTGGGCAGCAGCATTTTCTGTGTGTAGCAAGGTCCGTCCAATACTGTCAACATGTGGTCATGCATTACCCTGCTGAAACGTAATGTTTACCAGGCCTCAAATAAAGGGTACTGTCAGGGATCATCATAAATATAACGAGGACTGTTCAAAGTATCAGGAATCCGAACAAATGATGAACGAGATGTATATACAATGGTACCCCATATCAACATTCAAGGTGATGACCCAGTATGATGACGTCGAATTAAAGCTGGCAATATGCCTTTTCCACAATGTCAAA